TAAGCAGGCTGGCCTTGAACTTAGAGATCTATTGGCTTCTGCCTTCCCAGTGATGGGATTAAAGCCATGAGCCACCACCGCCCAGCTGCTATATGTCTCTATAATATTTTTTCTGTTTTATTACTAAAAATAATTTCATTATTTATAACTTTTAATATAGTAAAAACTAACCATGACATGGTGCACCCGCTGCGGCCCCTCGAGGAAGTTCTGTGAGGCCAGTCCCCAGAGCCTTCTTGATGTGGGGGACTGGATAGGTGCTCATTGAACATACATTAATTGAATGGAAAAGTGGATAAACTCTGTTTCTATGACCCTGCCAGCTGCTACCTAGTCACCGCTCTGGAAGTAGTGCGTTGGCCACTCCCCTTGAGGTGCACCCCTTTCTTGAGAGCAATGGCAGGCTCATGTCACCAGTGTTGGCAGTTTTGGCAAATCACACTTCTTGCTGAGGTTGCACTCGAGAGCTTTGTACAATTACCACACTCAGTGCGGGTTCCTTTTCTGACTTGGGAAATACTTTTGTCCTAAGTTTAAAGCCCAAGTCATGACTCTAGCTAAATTCCAAATAGTGCTTCCAGTTTTCCCACTCCCACATCTTGATCAACAGCCTGATGCGCTTACCTACAGGTGAGCTCCAGGGCAGGACACAGACAAACAGACAGTCAGACGTCAGCAGCCTTCCTGGATAGAGGCCCTCCCACTTACCCAAAGGAGTGGGCCCACTCCGCCACGGGGCCTTTGCACCGTCTGCTCCTTCCTCTGAGAAAACTCTTTCCACCTGGCAAGACTGTCGTGATTCTTAGGGTTTGGATCTCAGGCCGGCCAGCCTATCTGAAAGGCTGCCCCCTTCTCCTCCCCCCCCCTCCACCTTCTAAACCTCCACCTTGCTCTCCCGCAGTCTGGAAAGCCTGATTATAACAAAGGGCATGTGTTAATACTTCCTGGGGTGGTTTGAATGAGAACAGCTGCCATAGGCTCATAGACTTGAATGCTCAGTCACCAGGAGTAGAACTTTTGAAAGGATTAGGCAATGGGTAGCCAGTTATATGGGCTTTGAGGTGTCAGAAGTTCACAGCAGGCCCAGGCATGCTCTCTCCTCTCTTCTCTTCTCTTCTCTTCTCTTCTCTTCTCTTCTCTTCTCTTCTCTTCTTCTCTTCTTCTCTTCTTTTCCCTTCCCTTCTCCTCCTCCTCCTTCCTCTCTCTCTCTCTTTCTCTCTCTTCCTCTCTCCCCTTCTCTCTTCTCTCTCTCTCTTTCTCTCTCCCTCTCTCCCCTTCTCTCTTCTCTCTCTCTCTCTCTCTCTCTCTCTCCTAACCCATGGATCAGGATGTTGCTCCCAGCTACTGCTCTGCTTCCTATCATGATGCTAATGGACTCAACTTCTGAAACTGTAAGGCAGCCTCAGTTAAATGCTCTCCTCTATAAGCATGTCCTTGCCCAGCATGTTGCTTCACAGCCATGAATGACTAGGATGCTTGCGGTCTCACCTGCTCCCCACTCCACCCCAGTGTTCTCAGGGATTCTGCCTTCCCTGTGCACAGCTCCTGGGCTTGGACTAGTACGGCCACTCCATAAACATCTCCCAAGGGAACAGATGTGGCTCTCTTCAACGAGTTGTCTCAGACTCAGGCTTCCACTTCACTTGCAAGGCTGGGCCCGGGGCTACAGTCACAAATGGCCATGAAGCTGAAGGCATAAAGCAACACAGACTTATTCTCGAATAGTTCTGGAAACTCAGAAGTCCAACATTATTATTATTTAGGTTTTTTTTTTTTTCTTTTTTGAGGTAGGGTTTCTCTGTAGCTTTGGATCCTGTTCCAGAACTCACTCTGTAGACCAGGCTGGTCTCAAACTCACAGAGATCCTCCTGTCTCTGCCTCCCCAGTGCTGAGATTAATTGGGCAAAACCAAGATCACACTCCCACCATATTTGTAGGAGAGAACTTGGCCTTCACCTCTGCAGTTTCTGTTGGTTGTCAATGCTCCTGTGCTTCTGGCTCCTCCCAGCCCCAGCAACTTCTATGTTTTCTGTGTGCGGTTTTCCCATCACCCCTGTCCTGTGTATGTGCCATTATAAAACCCTCCTCTGTCTCTCTCTTCCAGTGGGTACACAGGATAACATTTAGTGCCTAAGAAGCCAACCCAGAGAACGTTAAGTCAGTCATCCCTGTAAAGACTTTGTTGTGTAATATAACATTCAACCTTCATAGGGCTAATTGCTTGCACCTGATGTCTCTAGGCCACCACCAGGGATGTCACTAGAAGCTCTGGAAATCCCTTCGCAGGATGAAGACATGTGTCTTGAACTTCTATCTGCCCCTCTCTGTGTGCCCAGCCTCACAGAAGAGTTTGGCTAATGCTTTATGACTGAGTGTGTAGAGCAGGTGCTTCTTTCTGCCTTTCTCCCAGCTTCAACCTCAAAAAGAAAAGTTCAGGGCTCTGGCTCCCTCTATATAACTGACTACCCATTGCCTTACCCTTCAGAAACCACAGGATGTTCCAGAGGACAAGCTGCAGGCACCTCCCAGGGTCTCTGATGAGTGGCAGGAGCAAGAAAGCATACAGGGGCATCCCCCTGCTGCAAAGCATACAGTCCACTCTTGCTGTCTTGGAGTCTAAGCAGCATAGGCTACAGCCTGGTCACTCCCTTCTCTTCCACGATTCCAAATAGGAAGATGGGGAGAGAAAGATGGAAATTAGCCTTTTTCTCCCAAACAGCACCATTCAGGAGAGAGGGCCAGTGCACAGGAGAGAGAGAGGGTCAGTGCACAGGAGCGAGATGGTCAGTGCACAGGAGAGAGAAAAAGAGAGAGAGAGAGAGAGAGAGAGAGAGAGAGCAAGTGTACAGGAGAGAGAGAGAGAGAGAAAGAGAGAGAGAGAGAGAGAGAGAGAGCCAGTGTACAGGAGAGAGAGCCAGTGCACAGGAGAGAGAGAGTCAGTGCACAGGAGAGAGAGAGAGAGAGAGAGAGAGAGAGAGAGAGAGAGAGGTCAGTGCACAGGAGAGAGAGAGTCAGTGCACAGGAAATCTTCTGCCCTCTGGCTGTCTCCACAGTGGTTTCTGAACTTGTCTCCCTGCTGGTAGGAACAGGCAAGTCTTCTCAGCCACCTGCATAGTCCCTGCAATCCCTCATCCAGCAGCATGGAGAGGATCTTGGTCTCTGTTCCTACTCCTGGGTTCCCTGAGGTCGGTAGAGACTTTTTCCACCCCAGGCCTGGAATCTCTGCCCCTTGACAGCTGGGAGCAGTCTGAAAGCTGAGGACAGAGGCAGGTTGCCCAGATCTGAATTGCCTGGGTTCACATTCACTCTGCTTGTTACTTGAGGCTTTTCCTCCCTCCCCATGCAGTTAGAAGGGCTGGCAGGATGAGACTGTCCATGACTGGCCAGCGGCTTGTTGTGGGATCTGTAGGTGGGAAGGGGTCTCCTTTCTCCTGTGCTCAGTATAGACAGGATGCCTAGGTCTCAGTCTTGGAACAAAGAAGGGGTCTTAGAGGTTCATGCATGGCTTACCCCAGTTAGACTCCTAACAGAACTGGCTGGAACTGGTCATGCATTTGCCCCACCTATCCTCTTCTGTGGTGCAGAAATTGCCATGAGACCCAGAGATATCCAGCCACTTGAGGAGCTATGGAAAGCTAGGGTTATTTGTGACTTGGGTTATTGCTGCTGGTGGCTTTGAGAACATATAATTGCCTCTATGGAGATCATTAACAGACAACATGTTTTCCTCTGCATAACACCTACACAGCCTTCCCAGATTCCACGCTGGCCCCCAAAAGGGAGGCACACAGCTTTCTCATGGAAGAGAAGAATGTGCACAACCCATTCTTACTTGCAGTGACTTCTCTGTGTGTTTGCGACTAAATGCCTTCAGAGAGATTTATTGACCCACAGAGGTAGGAACAAAAATTAAGCCTCATCCGGCCACAATGCCCAGGCTCTGACATTTGAAAATGGAGCTCTAGGGTTTGAAGGAATCAGGCAAGACTCCGACAATTCCACAGGTTACTTTTGTTAAAAAAAAAAAAGTCTTCTAAAAAAAGCACACAATTAGACCGGGTGGTGGTGGTGCTACATACCTTTAATCCTGGCACAAGTTTGAGGCCAGCGTGATCTACAGAGCAAGTTCAAGCACAGCCAGAACTACAGAGAAACCTTGTCTTAAACCCCCTCCACTACAAAGTTTGTAAGTTGGGAGGCTGAGACAGGTGGAAGCAGTTTCACGTCTTGCAAGGGCAGTCTGAGCAATGTAGTGAGCCCCCGCACACTCACGGAAGGGGCATGAGTTGTGCTCAGTGGTAGAGCATTTGCCTGGAGTGTGTGTGGGAGCCCGGGTTCAATCTGCAGCACTACAAAACAAAAAACAAAAAAATTAAAACATTGATATAGCCCAGATCACAGGGAAACAGGAATGCTGACACATTTCAGCAAAGTTTAGCAATTTCAAAAATTTAAATGCATGTTTCTTTGACTTGGTAATTTCATTTGCAAAAAGCCTCTTTAGAAAACAACTAGAGATAGGTGGTGGTGGCACGTGCCTTTTATCCCTGTACTCCGGAGGTAGAGGTAGGCGGATCTCTATGAGTTCGAGGCCAGCCTGGTCTCATCTACAGCGTGAGTTCTAAGACAAGCTCCAAATCTTCACAGAGAAACCCTGTCTTGAAAAAACAAAACAAACAAACAAACAAAAAACAATAACCAGAGAGTGAGGGCTAGGCATGGTGACTCACACCTGTAATCCCAGTAAGAGGATTGCTACACACTCAAGACCAGCCTGGAGCCACTTAGTGGATTCCGGGACATCTTGGGCTATAGATTAAGACCATCTTAAAAGAAAACAAACAAATTGAATAATCAGGGATATTAAAAAAGATTAGCTAGACAAAACATTCATTATAACTGCTAATAACACATTTTAAAATTCAAACCTAAATGCTTATAATTGGGGATTAAAGATGTTATAGTTCAACAATAAACACTCAGAGGAACGCTGTGCTGTGATTGTTTAAAAAGTCATTTATTAGCCTATATTAACTACGATGGCACATAGATTTAAGTAGATCGTTTACAGTATGTTTATATTTATGTTTATATATGTAGCCATGGGTTGCCACACTAAGTGTCTTGGCTGGCAGAACAAGGACCTAAACATCTATAAACACAATCAATAGGTAGATGGTAGAGAGATATTGTGTGGATGGCAGTACATTACCAAAACATCAAAATGCTAACATTTATTTCTAGGTTGACGAGCATTCATATTTATGCCTTTTCTTCCTTTTTTTCCCCCAATAATTGCTGTCTATGCAAGATGGAGGATCCGGCCTCCTCAGAAAGGTGGGAAATGACTCTGGGAATGCTCTTTAGCCAGGACATCCCTGTTGGCCAACGACATCTTTCGAATAAAAACAATTGAAGGGTATCACTCTGAATTGGAGTTGACATAGAATTACCCTCTGAACTAAAACCCTTGTAGGTGTTCAGGAAGCTGTGAATTTTGCTGTTGGTTTGGTCAGCATAGGCCTCTCTGGCATCTGAGACTCTTGGTCCCCTACCTTGAGTGAATGTTACCTTCTGTCTCTCTAGGAATGCCCCAGGGCTGGTGCTTCCCTGGGGCCACCAGGATGTAAGGCTTCTGTTGCTACCATATGTCTGTGACCGAGTATGGGAGTCCTGAAAAAAAAAAATCCAGCTTTCTCACCTTGGATAAGCATAGCCCTAATCTTATCATTTCTTCTGGAAAGCAGTGTTACTTGTTTTGAGATAGGGTCTCACACATCCCAGGCAGACCCTGAACTTCAGGTATCACCACATCTGGTCCATGCAGAGCTGGGGTTCCAGCCCATGTCCTTTGCACGCAGGAGAGTCACTCAGCACTCAGCAGACTGAGCCTCATCTGCACCCCCGGGAAGGTGGTACTGCTTAGGGACTCAGGGAATCTGAGACACTGTATTCCTGCCCATGTCCCATTACTTCACAGCACAGTTGTAGACAAACCCTCCCATCTGATCTGGACCTCCCCAGGACTTGCCCGCTGTCCACTAAGGGCCACTGCCCCCGTCAGAGGCGCTGGGCCACCATCTATTTATATCAGTCAGGCATGCCCTGCTCAGATCAGGTTTCTTTCCCACAGCCTTGGCTGCTCTGGGTGGCCACTGTCCCACTCAACCCCCTGGGTCATTTATCTTCTGCCTATCAGGCAAGGTGAGTCAGCCACTTTCCTGGTTCTAGAAATGAGGTTGTTATTCCCTGAGATACCACAGGTCAGTCTAATTGGGGTAGTCCCTGACACGACATTAAAAAAACAATTCCTTCAACAGACCAGTATCTGAATGCCAGAATACTTAGGAAAAATTATGGATTGCTGCCTTTTTCTTGTTTAAAATAAGGGCTTTCTACATAGCCCAGGGTGGTCTTGAACTTGTGATTCTTCGGAAATTTCAGGCAAGCCTCACCGTGCTGGTAAGGCCCTCTTCATAGAAGCAATCACTGTGGTCTTTCTCCCCTAAAATGCCATGGGGTGAGTCTCGCTAAAGACAGAGAGCCAGGCGAGAGCACAGCGCGGGAGGTTTGTGTAGACGGAGCTGTGCAGGGATGAGGGATAAGAGGCAGGACAGGCTGTGCCGAGCCTCCTCCTGTCATTGCGCTCACCTCACGACGGCATTTCACTCGTAATTACATTCTTCCTGGATACAAAGGGACATGGAGCCCATCCACCGATTGATTCTCCAACACCCACCTCTCACGAGAGTCCAGCCCCTGCCAGTCCTTGGACTCCATCCCAGCCGGAGCCATGCAGACTGTTCAATCAATCCTGGATTAATCTGTAATTGAAACCACACACGCTGACCCTCCCCAGTATCAAATTTATTGAGCTGATGTATATGTCACCATCTCCTCCTAGCCTGGTATAGGGCCAAATCAAGCAGCATTAGAACCAAGGCCGTTGTATTCCATGACCCAAGTCTCTGTATCTCTTGTTTACGAGGGAGCTCTTGGGAAACCGCCGACTCAAAGGCTTTTCTGGGCAGCGAGCGTCCTGTGGTGGCGGTCACAGGATGGCCGTGGTCACAGGGGTCACAGGGTGGCTGAGGTCACAGGGCGGCCACGGTCACAGGGTGACTGTGGTCACAGGGGTCACAGGGTGGCCGTGGCCACAGGGAGGGCGACTCCTATTCTACCAAAGTGTCAGTGGAGCTGGTGGCCGATGCACAACCATCACTCTGTCTACTGGCCCATCTAGTCCACTGTGGGCCTCGGGAACACCTTCCATCTGGTAGAATGTCACCCATCACCTCCTGGTGTCACCCCATGGCCATCCGTCAGGTAGGTTGTCATAAGACATCTTCGATGCCTGTCATGTCAATCACGAGAAGAGGCACAGTTGTGCAGAGCATTGCAGCAGCACTGGGCAGGTATTTGGCAACCAGGGGACCGGGGGAACAGCGAGAAGGAGTGTTCCTTGTCGACTCAACTTCACCATCCACGCACTGCAGATAAGAGCCAAGAGTGCTGTGCCCAAGCCCTGAGCAGCCCTCCACTTAGAGCAGGAAAGCGATCATCTGGAATGAGCCATACTTACAAGGCTGTGTTTCCTTTAATTCCTCATGGATTTTCTAACCCACCACACCATCTGGCTCTTCAAAAACTGTCCACGAGGAGGGTTTGGGTCCCCCATGGTAGGGTGTGATCAAAGACGTTCACAGCGGCAAAGCCGTCCCCGAGGTTAGTATTCACTTTCTGAAAAGAGGAGAAGGGAATCTGAGACTGACAGCCAGCACCTGACTCTCCCCATCTCACCGTCATTACTGTGGCCCACAGAGGCTGCTTTGAGCTGGGAAGGGGGAGTGTTTATCTGATTTATGCTGGCTTCTACGAGATGTGGATGGAAACCCCCTTCCCCTCCACACTCTTGTCATAGCATCCCCAACAGTCTCCAGACATGGTGGCAAGCACTTCCAGAAGGAAGACAGCTGGACACACCATGGCTGAAAATCATGGCCTACATGAGGATTAAAATGCCCGATCCCAGCACCACACAGGGATGACCCACACAGGGATGTGCAAGCTGCACGTTACCCCTGGAGACCTGGACTAGACCTCTGCTGTTGACTGAGGTTACTGTCTCACCTGGTCCCTCTTTGTTAGCCACGCCACCCACAGTCATTTAGTACCAAATAAACACACAGAGGTTTACGTTAATCATAAACTGATTGGCCCTAATGGGGGACAGTAAATCAGACTTCTTATTTACTAATTCTTATAACTTACATTAGCTCCTAATTTTTGTCTGTGTTAGCCACGTGGCTTGGTACCTTTTTCAGTGAGGCAGTCACATCTTGCTTCCTCTGTGGCTGGGTCACGACTGCAGACTGAAACTTCCCTCTTCCCAGAATTCTCACTACCCCGCCTCTACTTCCTGCCTGGCTACTGGCCAATCAGCGTTTATTTAAAATATAAGTGACAGAATACAGACCATGGTCCCACAACACTCTGCTCTGACTGCTTTGTGGTCTTAGCATCTTCAGGGTTTTGTTTCCTGTCATGTGACTAAAACCCCACATCCCATGGCCTGTGCTTGGGACCTGCTCCTTGAGAGATTGTGGAGCAGACATGCCGGAAAGGTGTCAAGGGCATCAGGAGGTGTTGGTCACGCGGGAGCAGCTGCCTCCCGCATCCTGGCAGAGACTCCTCTCACCATGATGGTGCTATCTCTGCACAGGGCTGGTGTGAGAGAATGCTGGGTACTCTCACCCTTTGAAGTGTCAACTTGAGACTTAAAGCTCCACGACATAGTCGTGGCCAGGGCTTTCTCAAGAAAAGCTTGAATCAGGAAATGAATGGCTTACAGAAGGCCTTCCCACTGGGCACTGGGCGTGGATGGCTCCAGAGTCACCTAGGGGTCACCGCAGCAGAGTCCCCTGGCTGCTAAAGGTCTGACAGAAAGCGACAGGCCCACTTGCTTTTCCGTCCTCCCTGTCTCCTTTAGAGTCCAAGCACCCAGCCCTACCTGAGGCCTACTTATTTCCCTCCTCTAGTCATGGCCCCAGCTCCTCCCATCTGGGATGGCTGGCAGGTGGACATATCCACATCCCACCCACCACCTCTACCCGCCCCCAGCTAAAGGTTGACTTTTTAGATATTAGAAGATCTATCTAATATCCAGGTTATAGATATTAGTTTAGAAACTTTCCTTGAGAGAACATTTGAGGAGACTGTTAGTTGTGGCCACTGGGCCGGTGTTTTAGATACATTCACAGAAGTACTGGGTGCATTCCAAGAAGATCTTTGTCAGGGCCTACCTCCATAATGACAGCTGTCACAAGTCACATGCTATGCTGATAAACAGATATGCTGTGGGAGAATGCTCTTGTAAAGACTTGTCACTTGTATTGGTTCAATAAACTGCTGATTGGCCAGTAGCCAGGCAGGAAGTAGAGGTGGGATGACCAGACTGAGAATCCTGGGCAGAGGAAAGGCAGAGAGGCAGTCACCACCCAGACACAGAAGAAGTAGGATGAGAATGCCTCACTGAGAAAAGGTACCTAGCCACATGGCTAAACACAGGCAAGAATTATGAGCTAATTTAAGTTGTAAGAGCTAGTTAATAATAAGCCTGAGCTAATAGGCCAAACAGTTTACAGCTAATATAAGCTTCTGTGTGTTTCTTTGTGACTGAATGGCTGTGGGAACAGACAGGACAGAAACTTTCATCTACACAGATAGAAGCCTCTGAATCCATGCTATGAAAGCAAGGCAGTGGCACAAACAGGCACGATGGGAACATGGTGGAAAGAGGGTGGGGGAGACGTGCTCATGTAATGGGACAGCGAGGAGAGCTCAAACCCCACAGTTCTGAGCATGTGTCGTGGATCTCTGTGGCATGTGGTGCTCAGGGCAACGGGGAAGGACCGGAAATTAACCTTTCCGTGGTAGTTTGAATGTAACTGGTTCCCATAGGCCTGAGTGGCACTATTAGGAGACCTTGTTGGAGTAGGTGTGACTTTGTCAGAGGAAGTGTGTCACTAGGAGGTGGGGTTTGAGGTCTCCAAAGCTCCTCAGTTCACTTCTTGTTGCCTGTGGATCCAGACATTGAACTTTCAGCTTCTCTAGCACCATGTCTACCTGCGTGCTTCTTGCCATAATAATCATAAACTAAACCTCTCAAACTGTAAGCCAATTCTAGTGAAATGTTTTCCTTTATCAAGAACTGCTGTGGTCATGGTGTTTCTTCACAACAACCCTAACTAAGACACTTTTAAATTTTGTTTGGGAGACAGAATCTTGCTACGTAGCTCAGGCTGGCCTGGAGCCACAATCTTGATGGCTCAACTGCCTGAGAGCCCAGATGAAATTAACTTTTTTTCTTAGTCATCAAAAGAACATGGATATCTAATGTGAAACAGAAGCCCACTAAGGATAAAGAGAAACTGCAATAGAAGACTCAGGGCCTTGAGGACGGGCAGCTTCCTCAAGCAAAAGACAGAGCTGACGGCTCCAAGGAGAAGTCCTGAACATCTAACCACTTTGGAAAAGACAATTAAAAGGAAACAAGTGACAAGCTGAGAAGTGGCACCATTTCCAAGCAGGCAGAAGTGCTGTGTGTCTGGAGGGCATGGAAAATTCCTTCAGATCAAGACAAAGGCCTCAAAAGGCCAACAACAAGCCAACAGATGCAGCACTTCAAAGAGAGAGAATAAAATGCACATTAAAAAAACATGCTCAGAAGCCTGGTGGTGGTGGAGCACACCTTTAATCCCAGCACTTGGGAGGCAGAGGCAGGTGAATATCTGAGTTCAAGGCCAGCCTGGTCTACAAGAGCTAGTTCCAGAACAGGCTCCAAAGCTACAGGGAAACCCTGTCTCAGAAAAAAAAATGCTCAGAAATACCCAGTCCGAGGGAAGTGCAAGCAAACAAGACGCATTCCCCTCCTGTTGCCAGGGGCTAGTGTGAAAACCTGGAGCATTGTGAGGGTGTAATGAGAAGGGCACACTTCTACACGGCTATAGGAAGGTCTGGCAAGGCTATGAATATAAAACGTGCATGTACCCAGCAATCCTGATTCTGGGTAGAAATGTTCCCTGACATGTCCATCAGTTAGGTAATAGCTAAGGGAACTCTGGGCCATTGCATGGAGTACTCTGCAGCAGTCCAAAGTAATGACGTGTTCCACATGTAATGCCATGTAACAGTGTATATGGAAAAAGCAGGGCTGGGGAAATGACCCAATCAGTAAAGGTTTGTGCGGATTTTATTAGATTTCCAGAGCAAATCTAAAAACACTGAGAATGCTGACATATGTTTGCATCTCAGTACTGGCGTGATGGAGATGAAAAGACAGATCCCTGGGGTTTAGAAGGCAGCCAGCCTGGACCAATCAGTGAACCCTAGGTGTCAATGAGAGACCCTGTTTTTAAAAACATGGCGGGCAGCTCCTGAGAAACAACACTGTAGACAAAAGTGTCTGTCCTGCCTGGTCCCACAGCCATTTATTTAGTCCCAAAGAAACACACAGAGACTTATATTAATTATAAACTGTTTAGCCTATTAGCTCGGGCTTATTATTAACTAGCTCTTACAACTTAAACCAACCCATAATTCTTGTCTATGTTTACCCACATGGCTTGGTATCTTTTCTTAATATGGCATTCTCATCTTGCTTCCTCTGTGTCTGACTGGCGACTGTGTCTCTGGCATTCCAGAATTCTCCTAATCTGGTCACCCCGCCTCTATTTCCTGCCTGGCTATGGACCAACCAGCATTTTATTAAACCAATATGAGTGACAAGTCTTTACAGTGTACAAGAGCATTATCCCACAGCACACCATCTAGCATGGGCCTCTACCGTTCACATGCATGCATGTGTACATACATCAAGAGGGAAACACAGAAAAGAAAGAAAAAGTCTGCAGGAACAATGAGCACAGATGGAGTGATCACATTTTAAACACACACACACACACACACACACATGCAGAATCACCTATATCTCTGATACTAGATGCATCAGAAAATGCAGAGGTGAAAAGACCTACCCTGAACATGGGCAGCACCATGGGTGAGGTAGGCCCTATTCATAAACAGGACAAAGCCACCTGAGTGCCAGTTTTAGCCTGGCTCTGCTTCCTGGGTTCGGACATAACGTGACCAGCTGCCTCGTTTTCCTATGGTGACAGCTTCCTTGACCTGACAGACTAGTACCCTCCAAGACGGTGAACCATGAGATAGCCGCCTTAGTTTCTGTTCTGTTGCTGTGATAAGACATCAAGACCCAGGCAACTAATAAGAGAGTTTATTTAGGCTCACAGTACCAGAGGGCGACTCCATGGTCATCGTGATGGAAAGTACAGCAGCAGGTGTGACGCAGAAGTAACAGCTGAGCTCGCACATCTTGAGATGCAACTCCACGGCAGAGAGAACTGACTGGCAATGGCTGGGCTTTTGAAACATCCAGGATTCCCCTACCCCACGTGCCACAACTCCTTCAACATACCAGATTAGGCCACATAGCTCTTCCCCACACAGTTCCAACTGGCCACCAAGCGTTCACACTGCCACAAACCCCTTTCTTCAAGCTGCTTTGCCAGTTTTTTGTCACAGTGCAAAGAGTAGCTGATGTGGGAGCAGGAAGCCCCAGAAGGATTGTGTAATGGGGCACTCTCTGCGCTCTGTCGTTTCATGACCAGAAGCAAAATGCTTTTTAGAAGTCAACAAGAAATTTAGAGGCAAAAATAATGTGCAGAGATCCCACTGTGCTCTCTGTTATGAGACCTGGCCGTTATGAGAGAAAGGCAGCTGTTCCCAGGGGAAGGGCTCCTGTGGAGGGCTTACCACATGCTCAGAGGGCCACCCTGTGCTGCCAGACCAGGGATGTTTGGGACAGAAGTTTCAGCACTTCTCCCGGAAGCGATCACATTGGAGTGTTGGCCCCTTTCCAACTGCCAGTTGCTAGTCACAGCATCTTGTGCAGCGTGACTACAGAAAGCCTCCAGTGTGGGAGGCTGAGGCCGGAAGATCGCTGTGACCTAACACTGAATTTGCGGCCATCCTGGGATATAGTGTGTTTTCCCATCTCATAAACAAAACAAAAAACAACGAAACAAAACAAAAAAGGCCAAAAAAAAAAAAAAAAGCCAAGCAGACAAAACCAAAACCAATGAAACAACTGAAAGAGAGAGAGAAGGCAAGAAAGAGGTAAGAAGAGAGAGAGAGAGAAAGGGAGGGAGGGAGAGAGAGAGGAGGGGGGAATTGCAGCAAACATGTCTGATGACTCACCATGCATCGGGCTCAGCACCCCCTAATATCACCCAACACAGCAATCCCAAGAGACTGACAGTTTTGTTGCCCATTTAACAGATCAAGGAGAGGTTTGGCTGGATTCAGGATCTCAGTCCAATGCCCACACTGCAATGGACGCCACCGATTTCAAGTTCTTGATTATGCCTCCTCCTCCTCCAACTGCCTCTCCAACCACATTCAACAGTGAGGCTGGCTTTACTTCAATTTGTACACATACATCAATATTCAATTTCTTCCCATTCGAGTTAAGGGGTAGAGAAAGGCTACCACTGTCCCTGTGCGACCCTGGCCAACGGTAGTGGTTAGGAACAGGACAGGATGAACCGAGACTGGTCTACAGGGAGCAGAGGATCTTCTGCACCCCTCAGGGGTCAGGAACCTGAGGGTATGAAGCCCACTGGTTCGGTCAGGAGCAGGGGGGTTGTACCGTAGATGGCACATTCCCACGGAGGCAATCCTGCCCCATCAGAAGGCAGATGTCCCGGATTCCTGCACGGTGTTCATCAAGTCAGCTCATGGCTGGGGCTCTAGTGATATCAGTCAACAAAGGTTTGGAATTCCTGTCTCCCTCCAACTGGTGTTCTGGGGTAGGGGGTGTACGGGGTCTTTCACGCTAGTCCTGTGTCTGATCAGTCACCAGATCCTGCAGTGCATGAACGAGCAGGCAGCATGGTCCAACCAGCAAGGTGGTTGATAACGCTTGCCTTCCTGACGTTGAGAACTCTTAGAAAAACTAATGGGGAAGCAAAGTGTCCCCAAAATTAGCAAGAAGAGTGAGGGATGGGACAGATGGATTCATTAAGTCAAAGAACACCAAACCATTCTGGGGACATTTCCTCAGAATGGAACCATCTTTCCCTAAGCTACCTCCAGCTAACTCCCAACCGTGGTCCTAGGAGGACACAGCTAAGCCTCATTCCCGCACCCACGCACACGCTTGTACTCAGCCAGTCTCGGCGTGGTCCCCTTTCCTTGGCAAGACCATACCTCAGCTTACTATAACTCCTTCCCAATTTCCAAGATGCAAAGCAGATTGATTCCGTTTTCTTGGTGACACATTTTCTGATCACTCCTAGCTCATTTTCAGTTCCTCCAAGGAACTGACTCAGCCGCGAAAGTCCATACCACTTCCACACTGGTCTCACAGAGCATGCGCCAAGCTCCCCCTGAAGAACTAGGCTTGCTCCTTCTTCACCTGCAGCTCTGTGAGGGCCAGGGTGGGTCTCCCTGTCACCCTGTGCGTGAACAGCTGGTCCACGAGAGGCAATGTTGTTTGAAAAGATAGCAGGACGAAGAAATAACAAGTACAGTGCCTAGCTTATCTAAGATGTCACGGTGTGATACATATTTCCCAAATGACAAGTATTTTAACGTAGGAATTCCTCACTTAGCTGCCTCTTAGGTAACCATCCATTCAAGAAAGCTAACGGAGACTTATTCATGTCTGATATAAGCAGGCCCGTTCCCACACACACCACAGCTGAAACCAGCCTGCAGATCCTCCTTCACCGCCCCATCTTAATGCTGGTTTTTGAGGTACATGGTGTTGAGTCCCAGGACGTTCCAGACCCACTAGAATACATCTCAGAATCAAGCAATGCTTCGGTGTGCCGCCAAAGGGCTCTCAGGGAAAGCAGTGGTAAGAATGAAGGACGCTGGGCAAATAGAAAAGTTATTGATTGTGGGTTGAGGGTGTCTTTATAGTTTAGGGAATTCCTAGTAAGCAAATTATTTTAAAGAAATAACAGAAGATGTTTAAAAGACTTCAGTTACCTGCTCCTAGGGTCAGGCGGCACATCACAAAGCCCCACGAGTCCCACACTCCGGGGAGTCAGGTTCCCGTGGGATGCCTGGTACTCCTGCGGCCCTGCACGTTCCGTAGGAAGCGCTGGGACTGAGGGAGGGGATAGGCTTCCAAGAGCGCTGCGCTCTCTGGGGCTCCGGTGTTCGCGGAGCAAAGTCTCTGCGGTGATTCTGCCAGCGGGGACACGCGTCGCGCAGACGCTCCGGGTCACCAGAGCCAAATGGAGTTTGGATTTTTGCCTGCCCGGCAGCCCGGGATGGGATGGCCTCTCCCCTATCCTCTACTCACCTGCTTCTCTGAGCCTTGTCCATTTTCCCCTTGGCTTCTGGCTCCGGAAGACCTCTGCGCAGCGACCGGGTTCCGAGACTCACCAAAGAGGAGACTGGGTATGGTAGTGGGAGGTACAGTCGCCAGAGTCCCCACCCTGCCCTGGGGGATGGTGGTGGAGGGGTGCAGAACAGTCGATCTAAGCCCCCAGGATCCCTCGGGGACATCGCACGCACGGTGGGTGACCGGGACCCCGGGAGGAGGAGACATGATGCATCCAAAACTTTGGGTCTTCCAGCGGCGACTGCGGAAAAGGCCATCGTTACTTCTGTCCGGGGCTGCTGCAGTTGCGGGGTTGCTGTCCGGACAGGGCGGCGGTGCGCAGCATGCAGGCTCGAGGCGACCCTGCCCCATTGAACCCGCGCAGCTCTTGGCCTCTCTGCACCGCTCTGCGCTCCGCCAGCCCGACTGCGCGCTCTCCCCGGCCCCGCGCACTCTGCGCCTCTCTGGCGCTCCCAGCGGCCACGCGCAGCACAGCAGGGCCGGGTAGGGCCGAGCGCGCCCCGCCTCCTGCCTCCTCCGCCGCTCTCCTCCCCCTCGTAGAGCACTCAATGTCGGAACGTTCCGAAGATGACGTCGGAGCGTTCTCGAATCCCGTGTCTCTCGGCTGCTGCTGCCGAAGGAACAGGGAAAAAGCAACAAGAAGGAACAGCAATGGCGACACTGCACCGCAAAGTGCCCAGTCCGGAGGCGTTTCTGGGCAAACCCTGGTCCTCCTGGATCGACGCCGCCAAATTACACTGCTCCGACAGTAAGAACCCCACCGCCTGCTCCTCCTTTTATTATCCTGTAACCTTTCCATTCACCTAGAGCCACTGGGAAAAAGTGTGTGTGTGAGAGAGAGTGGCCCCCGGCGTCCTCCATGCTTCTCCCTCTCTCTCTAAATAAATACACACAGACACAGACCATCAGAGCACAGAGAGGCCCGGCTGCCAGCAAGGCTGTCTGTCTGTCTGTGTCCGGCTCCCTGGGGCAGGCAGCCCGCGGGGTGGTCTTTCGCAGCCCCACAGTGGTATCTGTTTAAAAGGCGACTCTGTTGCTGCTTGCATAGTTTTTTTGGTACCTATCTGGGCCAGGTAGATGGAAACCCGGACTCGGGAGAAAATGTTGCATTGTCAATTTTTGCAAGATTTTCAGATACAGTATCTATATCGATCTGTTTGCCAATAAACACTCTCCCTTCCCCCTTGACTTTGGCTTTCCCCCCCTTTTTTCCTCATTTTCTTTTTTCCTTTTCTTTTTCATCTGCAGATGTAGATTTAGAAGAGGCTGGAAAAGAGGGTGGCAAAAGCAGGGAGGTTATGAGGCTTAATAAAGAAGGTAAGTGGAGCTCTTGGCATTTTAGTGTTAGCTTGTGTGGCAGTCTTCACAGGCTTTGGAATATAATGTGAATTGTTCTGCTGGGTACAGAGTGACTAAGGCTTGTCAAAAATTGAGCACGCCCGGGTGACTACTGCTTCACTGTTAACTTCCTTCCAAGTATAAATACAACTAGGGTGGGGGGGGGGATGCAGACTGGGGGAGGATGGAAGGCAGAAGTTTACTGTACTCCGCTGGAGTCCACATCCGAACCCCCTGATGGTATCTGCCCTTCTCCTTGGGGGCACCATTGGCCAATGGTGGTGGTGGGGTTTGACATCCCCGAGTGAAATACCGTTCACACGCATTCCTGCCTCCCTTGTGTGTAAATTCACAAGTTTTAATGAACCCCACATGGCGGATCATTCCAACAGCTACTTTTCCACTCTCGCTGAAAACCATTGCGCATGGTCAGCCCTGACTGCAAGTGACATTTTGTGTCTGGGCGCGGATTGTAGGTGCATCAGTTTGTGCACACAGACCCCCTAGCCTGCACTTTTTCCCATTCTGTGCTTCTCAACATACAAATATGATACCTGAAAAGGGACACAGTGAATAGACAGATGAGCTCGGATTTGGGCCTGTGAGGGAAGCCCGTAATGCCAGACCTGGGGCGACACATCCCTGTAAGTTACTTTTGCTGTTTGCAAGTCCACTATTTGGCACGCTGGCCTCTGGCTTCAAATGAAGCTACTTGGGAGACCACTTTCTGCTTAGAGAAAGGGTGGGTTCGTCTGAATTGTGATGCACTTGCCGGAGTTTCAATGGTGCACCAACTGGCTGAAGTTGGTGCTGGGAAGAAGGTGCAGGAGATCACTGGAAGGTGTCAGAAAAGTTCAGACATAATTTAGCCGTAGGAGCATTTGCTCATCCATGATGAATGGAGAAAATGCCATTTGGCTATATAGATTGGTCCACTGGTGACAGGGGGTGTTGCCTGAAAAGGTGGATGGAAGTTGCTTGGAAAGGTGGACTTCCCTTTGCGGACTGACACCCAAGATTGTTGGTTTTCAGTGCTGCATCCATTCTTGACTGCCCGGTGAGGAAAATGTGTTCTTCTGGAAAGAATCATGCAGAGGTTAAAATGCATATTCAAGGGCCGTTCTCTGGCTCCACGTGTCTGCTAATTAAGTACTTTGGGAACAAAACATTATTCTAAAGATATTTGCCTCACAGTGTCTTCGCGTGGTTTTGGCGTGTGTGTTTAGGATGCACGAGAGAATGGTGTCAAGTGGGCTCCTCACAAGTGGCAGCTTATTTGTGCTAAATGTCCATGTGTGTTGGCAATGGAAAGGGATCCCTAGTGGCTCTCATTCTCCTCAGGTCTTGAACCACTTCGAGAGCTGAGCTCTCAGGCCACCAGACTTTTTGCCACGATGAAGGTGCAAAAGCCTGTATGTTAAAGTTGACGAAAGACTGTGGCGTGCATGGGCTTGACCCCTGGCAGCCCTGGGTGACGAATTGGGACCGCAACCCACAAAGCTCAGATTCTCCGGCCACCGCTATTTCAAAAATACTCTTGTTCTCAGATTCTCTTTGCGGCACGAGAAATGGATTCTTTTAAGGGAAAATGAAAAGCTCTCCTTCCCTCAGAAGTCACAGATGTTACGTCTTACTTATTATGTCCTCTGTCCTGCAAAGGTACAAAGATTTTGCTTCTCATTGAATGCATCTTCATGGGGATACCCACTGTTCAGTTGCCATGCAGTTGGCTTCCATGGCCACACATGGACTTCCTATCTTTGTTGTGGGCCTGGTGGAGTGGCCTTGGGTGAGAAGTTCTGAGGTCACGTAGTACAGCAGCACAACTTTCCTTACAGATAAAAACATATGTGCAACAAATCCATGTTCCATGGTAAGAACTTCCAGGTTGGGCTGGGACTCTGTATTAGAGTCTTTGGTCACACTGGGCCTCCTAATCCATGTTCCGTGGTAAGAACTTCCAGGTTTGAGCTAGGACTCTGTGCTAAAGTGTTTGGTCACACTGAGCTTCCTAATCCATGTTCCGTGGTAAGAACTTCCAGGTTGGGCTGGGACTCTGTGTTAGAGTGTTTGGTCACACTGGGCCTCTTAATCCATGTTCTGTGGTAAGAACTTCCAGGTTTGGGTGGGACTCTGTGTTAGAGTGTTTGGTCCCACTGGGCCTCCTAATCCATGTTCTGTGGTAAGAACTTCCAGGCTGGGCTGGGACTCTGTGCTAGAGTGTCTGGTCACACTGGGCTTGTTGGAGTCACAGGTGTGAGGCCTGAGGGTGGGTAGATATTTGTGGAGGGTCGTTCATCGCAGGACATAGTGTGGCCCTGTGGGACTCTGGGGATCTGTGCTTATGATATGCCTAACTGCTGTGATGGGCTAGAAGCAGGTCTTGAGAAGAAATATGGAAATAAAAGAATAAACGTTGAGGGTTGAAATTGAGAAACGGCAGGATTTCTATTGTGGAACCGAGTATGCGCTGTAGAATTTACCATTGGAAGGTCTTCTGAGTGCGTAGCCCAGGGGCATTGGCAACATTGCTGCCGGCGCAGAGTTTCACCGTTTCACGCAGAAACTGCGCAGGCATGTGTGTACCGACTTCCCTTCAGCACCTGCTTCTTCCGTCCTCCTCCTGTCTCTGTGAAGGCTCTCGGTCTCGGTTCCTCACGTAAGTGGGACCACACAGTATTTGTCATTTTGTGCTGTCTTCTCTTTCTTGTGTTTTCAGGATTTATCGGTGTTATATAGTGTATAGGTACATTCCTTTCCAAGATAGCGTCATGTTCCATACTATATACACCGCTCACCCGTTGTCTGTGTGGGGCATTTCCACCTTTGGACCATTGCAAAGACTGCTGTTTTGAGTGTTGGTGCGATGCGATCATTTCTTAGACCGAAGTCAGAGAGGGAAGTTGGACTGGAAATAGGAAATAGGAGTCGTTTTGCCTGCTGAGCATTCTCGCCATGGCTTTGGAAGGTACCATAGGCACTAGCAGACTTTTTGGATAACCTGGTAGTTGCAGTATCATTCCTGGCACATCCCTGGTCCCACTAATCTTTCTTTGTGTGGCTCATCACCTGTGTTGAGTAGAAACTCTGAGCTGGATGCTCTGAAGTCTCCATGAGGAGTCTTCTTCTTAGCTTTCTTATTTCCTCTCAAATTACAGTTACAAAGAACTCAGCAAAGGCATTTGAATTGTAAACTGTTGCTAATTCCTTTTTGGCCTGGGCTTATGAGGGTTGCCTTAGAGTGGTTTTGTTGCAGGATGAGCCAGGGTGAGTTAGGAGCCAGCTCCACACTTAGGCCCTGGGGAGAGGTTCACTCCTCTTGGCTGATTCTCTAGCTGTGGAGCAACGGGTTTGGGACTAACTGCCCACCACAATCCCTCTGAGACTTCTGTACACGGGCTTCACTAGTCAGTGTTCCCACTTTTAAGCTACAATCATGCTGAACAGCCTAGCCTGCCTCTAAAGAAACTTAAAACAACAACAACAACAACCAAAAACCTCTCGTGCTTTAAGAAATCAAACCAAACCAACAACAAACCAACAAAACAACCTTGTGTGACTTCAGAAATATTGAGAATAACTGGGTATATTTTCTCAGTTTTTCAAAGTTTATCTCAGTGCTAACAAAAAACAATCACTGTATTGTCTGTTTACTAGGTGAATGGTTTGGGGTCACAGGCCTCACAGAAGAGGGACTGAGTCTAGACCATAGTAGAAAAGAGGGCTGAGTCCAGACCCCACAGAAGAGAGGGGCTGAGTCTAGAGCATGGCAGAAGTAGAGACCTGAGGTAAACATGCACCACAAATGTCTTCTTCCTATGAAGAACACTCTAGCCTCAGGTTGAGTCTGTCAAACCATGAGCTTTCCCAGAGGAGGGTCCCAGGAACCTTGCTGGCCCAATCGTCCTGAGAACTGAGTTGCTGATAGAAAATTCCAAGGAAGGCTGTTTTCCTGTGCCAACTCTGTATGCCACACTCTTCTCTCCTCCAGCTTGGTAGGTGACGCCTGAAAATTTCCCAAGCAAAAGTCCTACTCTCTTTGGGAAGCTGCTCTCGTTACTAAGGGCCTCAACCAACTTTTTAAAAAGTAATACCAACTCCTAGACAAAGAATGGGGTCTATGTGTCTCAGAAGGGCCCTAAACTATAAAACAGATGTTAGCAGAGAGTGTGAAGGAGATAATAGGAGAGACCTCGGCATACAGTAGGTGCCAAATGCTTGCCTGCTTTCATTCCTTTTGTCATTAGGACTGTTGCCGTCATTCATTACTGAAACTAGTTCGGTAAAATGGTATTATTTTAATTACCATGAATTTTTAAGTAATCTGTGGTAAAAAAGAAAAGACATACTGTAGGAAGAACTTCAGTTTTAGAGCTAGACGTGCTATGATTTTATTATGATGAATGATTTAAAAACAATTTATGTGGACGTAGTGTTTTTCACAGACTGCAGCTCAGAAGTGGGTTTTGTCAGAAGCAGAAAAATACTTAGGCACTTGTGGCTTCAGAACATGAGGAGCTGGTTTTGTTTGTTTGTTTGTTGATTGTTTTCCTTTGTGGTGCTTTCTGAGATCTACAAAAATACATTTGAAATGATAAGTCGTTCCATTTATTATGGAGAAAAGCCAGTCCTCCAAGGGCCTTTCTGGGCCCTGTGGAAGTCCGTACTTGCCTGAGAGTCTGTTCTGAGTTCCCAGCCTTTCGTCCTGTGAAGGTAGGATGAGAATTGCTTGTAGTCGTACAGGGAGCTGGAGCGGCAGAGCCCTGAGAGGCCCGCCAAACGCTCCCGAGACGCTGCAGGAGCAGGGGATGTGGGCGTGGGCTCTGCTCGGGCTCAGAGGTGAGAGGCTGGGAAGGGAGCCGCGTGGAGGTGAAAAGGGCAGCTGGCCTGGGAGGATGATGCATTCAGAAGACCCAAGCTAGGGAAGCCAGAGACAAGCCATGGAGATTTATGGGAAACTATCTTCAGCTTCTTTATCATTACACAGACAACTCCGTTATCTATGCTAATAGGAGATGGGAAGGCCGGAGTCTGCAGATTATGCAGATAAACCTCGTTTTCACTGTTAATTTCACTCTTACACCTGCCCTCCTCCACTTTGCTGGGAGCAGCAAGATTTGTTTATGTTGGTCTTTCGTTGGTGTCTCTGTTGGCCTGGGCTTGCATGGAAGGACAGGGGAGAGGGTGAGGCAGGGCAGCTAAAGGTGGTGGAGAGTAGAGAAGAGGAGAAGTGAGGTATTGGGGGTAAAAAGGCTTACAGTGGTTCCCACCCGAGAAGCAGAAGGCAGCTAAGCTGAGAAAGAGCTGCCAGTCTGTTCACCTGGGGAAATACAGAGCTTTGGAGACGAGCGTCTCTTTGTGGTTATGAGAATTTCCACGTGTCCAGATCCTGTGTGGAGAATGTGGCGTGGCTTTCCTTTCTTCCAGAACAGGAAGTTGACTTGGAAACTGTATACAAAATATTACCTTCAAGATTTGGGTTAGATTGGGTCTTCATCTTCTATAAGAATAATGGATTTTTTTTTGTTTATTCTTTAGCTCTGAAGATGTAGACCCTAAATTCATCTAAAAGCTGCCTAAATATAATCTCCGGGTTACAGAATTCTAGAGCATATACTTTACTATCATCTGTTTTTTTCTGTATCTTCCCCAAAATATCCTGGGTGCCTTGAAATAAATACATGTATGTACTCCCATAACTCCTCTCCTGTATGAGTGACAGCTCCCAACTATGGTCTAGCATCTTGTCATTTCTGTCCTGGAGGGCTGTCTGTTAGTATAAGGGTATAAGGGCTGTAAAGGGCCTGCTCGTCCGTCTGTGGTACCTGTGCAGGAAGGTGCTACGCCCTTTTGGCTCCCTTCGTCCGTAGAATCCACCCCCGTTTCCCCACCCCCATGCACCAGCCCTGCGTGACTCTGGGACACGGGAGTGGTGGGCACCATGTCTCTTGCCTGGAAGTTCTTCCTTCCTGTCAGCAACGACAGGCATCAAAATGACCGCAGTGATTGTGAGGGGCGTCTGGCAGAGGAAGCAAGGGTGCTGTTGGAGAGCCTGCAGGAGGTCCGTTTTAGGGCAGACCCTCCCAGAAGAAGCTTTACTTTAGCTAAGACCCGGAGGATGAATGGAGATTCTCATTGTGCAGACCCGAACAAGATGGAGCTGCAGGAAACAGTTTCTGTGAAGGACCAAAGTACGAGAGAATATGGAATGTTCTAGAAATGGAAGGGTTTTATTGCCGGACAGAGCAGAGGTGTCTGTCAGTTTTCTCACCTGCTGACATTTTGAGCCAGGTATTCCTTGTGATAGGGACCATCGTGTGTGTTATAGAATGTATAAAAACACCCTGTGCTCGTTGGATTCCAGTAGTGGCCCTTCATCCCTCTATGTGTACCAGGGAAGCAAAGTGACCTGACAGAGAGTCGCTAGAATAAAGGGAAGCTGGAGAAGTAAGGATACAGGAAAATAGAGAAAATTCAGGGGTATTTTGTTACTATTTCATGTCTTGGGCCTACAGCCCATAAATGAGTCAGCCTTATCAACTGCCCAACAGGTCAAATGGACTTTGGCTCCCAGCAGTGCTGTGGCCAAGCTAAGAGACTCCAAGAGACAGGCTCGGTCTCTCCAGGAACTCCCCCCAAGTCTCCCAGCCTGTGGCTCCCTCCGCAGTCAGCAGTGACAATAGTGGGGTGCAATCCCTTGTTCGGATTGGCCTAGTCCTCCCTCACGATGGGGACAGGAGGATTCTAACAATGGTGACGTTTGGTATTCAGTGGTCCCTGATGTCAGAACCCTAGCAAAGCATTCAGATTTCTGTTTATGTTGAAAGTCAGACTGGAAATACAACTGGCTTCCTCTGCGACTTGATTACCCATGGGATATGCCCGAAATGGGAATGAACACGAGGAGACCAGAGCAGCTGGCTTCAAGATCTCCACGCTGAGGATTGGGAGACGTGGAGGGCAGGGCCAGGCCTGGCTCTTGACTGCTTCTGATGTGTGTGTCACATGCTTGAAAGCATCATCCAGGGCCGTGGGGCCGTGTTGACCTGTTCAGTTACCCGCTGTCGGGGGCCTGTTGCCTTCTGCTGCAGAACTGATGTGGGCAAGTTAGACAGGATCGTTTCTCCATGCTCCTCTGTGGATCATGAGCCTGTGCTCTGGGCTCACGATCATTTGTGACATTTGGCTTCATCCCTGACGTCCTTCTGAGTGGTCTTCCAGTAGTAGCAGCTAACACAGTGATACTGGACCCTGATCAACTCCTTTGTTTGTATCTGAGGACCCCACACCCCAAGCAACCTAGTGTTTACATCTGGGAAAGGCGATCTTTCGGTGACCGCAGCAGTCAGATGTGGCTGTGATAGAAACAGAGCATTAGCCGATGGCTTGGATCTTTGCTCAATACTGTGGAAAACGAATGGCAAGGGTGGACCTCGGTGTGTGTCTCTTCCAAAACTCAGTCTACAACCCCGCAACAATGGGCTCCCTGCTGTGTCCTGTGGCCGGGCTCAGACTGGCTGCCTCTGCCCAGTAGACCTGATTTTGAACCCTAAGACCCTGGAACCGGTAAGAACTTGGATAGGCCCTTCCTGCAGGTGGGCTTAGCCCTAGGCTTAGATCCTAAGCAGTGAAGGGCTTAGCCTGGTTCGCCCAGTTCCTGCAAGGCAAGCCGGGATTCCTATGTGGATAGAGCATGCATTTTCATGTGGTTGCTTTATCCTTGTGGTCTCCCCACCCCCTCAATTCTACCTGCTGACTTTAAGGGCTCATTTGCTTAATGAAAAGAAGGGAGTGAAGTTCTTGGCAGGGCAGGACAGACTGGTGCGAGGTCACTGTAAGAGTCAAAGATGGGCTCCGAACACACAAACCGTGATACTGACGTTGTGCTGACTTCTGCAAAGCCGGCTATGAGTTTGTGGATGTTGATGGTAGAAGCACACCCTCAACAGGGAGCAGTGTGGCCTGACCCAGTACCCGAGCGAGTCATGGAGTCTGGGGCTAGGCAAACAGGTGATGGTGTTGTAGGGATAGACGGTAGATGGTTGAGACACCTCCCCTTACCAAGGTGATGTCCAACACACTTCTAAGAAGTATATTGACCAAGATTGGAGGCCCAGCTCCATGGTAGAACATCTGCCTAGCATGCCCAAGGCCCAGGTTTCAGCTCCCTGTCCATCCTCCTGCCCGAATGTGCTGGCCTCGCAAGGACAAAACCTGCCCGAGCCCGCTTCTATGAGGTCCCTACAGGAATCTGGTTTGTGTAGACAGAACAGAATGGTGCATCATGGGGGCTGGAGTCAGAAATGTAAAGTTTGGACTTAGTGGATCCAGAGTTTTGGGTCTAGAGTCTAAAAAGATTGAAAGTGGCTGGGGTGGAGGGTTCTGCGACAGTGTGAATGTGTTTAAAGCCACCAAACTGTGCACTTAAAAATAGCTACAGTGGTTAATGCTACGCTGTGTGTATTTCACTACACACAGAGAGTTCATTGGCATGGCAGCCTTGGGAGTTTCATGCAACATTATTTAAATTTTGACTCAACCATTTCCCAGCTGTGTGTTAATTTCAGATTTAATTTCCTCATTTTCAGAACGGAATAATAGTTCCTCTCAGAGTTGCTGTAAAAATAAATGAGATACTATCTGGCATCCTATAGGTATCGGTAATGTAAGCTGTGCTTACGGCCCTGTCTTACCGAATAGTCAGGTCTTCTTCTTCGTCTTTTCCGGGTTGCTATTTCCAGGGCACAGATTGTATCAAGATTGTTTCAGGAGTGGGCCAGGACAGACTGAGTGCCTGACCCTCGGCCAGCTGTGCATGTTCTCACCGGGTCCTCATAATCACCCTGTGAGAGAAATCCTCTTCACAGCTGGATTTGAAAAACTGGGGAGCCAAGGAGAATTTGGCTCACTGACCTCAATGGTTCGACTGAGAAATAAGGGAGCTGGGATTCGAACTCTGTGGCTGGCTGATCCCAGAGTCTGTACTCCCTAATCCTCTCTCTTCTTCTTAGACTGAGTGAGACTGAGGACGGGCAGAAGGCATGCTGGAGACACACTTAAGACTGCCTGCCCACGTGGGCTTCTGCGGGCACAGGCGAGGACCTTAAGTGTTGCTCCTGGACACCTAGCTTGTTTCAAACAGCCCAGCCCTGTCAGAGGTTGTATCCTTTCAGCAGAGCAGTGCAGAGAGACTAGCTGTCTGTCCCCCTTGCCTTTGTAAGATCCACAGCATCCTCCACGATGGGCTTTCTCATCCCAAGGCCCCAGCTTTGGGCCCGTGTGGTCAGAGCACTGGCCCCAGGGAAGCAGAGGAGCTGATGCAAACCGTTCCTTTTTAGAAGAAGGTGTTAGCAAAGACGGTTGCCAAGCAACTCTAGGGGCATCTATCTACAGTGATGATGTCTCTCTCTCCCCCCCCTCCTTTGAACGTCTTCTGGGCTGCTGTTCAGTTTGCTCTTGGCGTTGGAATTGTTAGTATTTTCATGAAGGGTGTGCTCCTCTGGATGACTGAGTGCAGATAGCTTTTCAATACCTGCCACATTCAAGGTGTCCTTTTGATGGTGATATGCCTGCTAAGTGGGTGTGAAAGTCCTTTGCCTCCTGCAGCCCCAGCATGCCCTGGCTGTGGCTGGCTCCAGGGCAGTGATGAAGGAGAGTCTTTGGACTGGAGTGGCAGAGAAAGACAGAATGTACCTCCCACACGAGGACAGGATGAGGTAGCCATGTTCAGCCCCTGTCACTCTGGATTTTGTCTGCTCTTCACTAGCCAGACCTCTTGAGCACTGTGTATGTGATGCTCTTACTGGCCTCAGAGATGCTGTTTTAACCTCTCACCTTGATTTCAGAGACCAGAGCTGTCTGGTTTGTGACTTTTTCTTCAGCCCTGTTACTGTTCTTGCAGTCCCTCCTCTGTGCAGGACTTTAGTGCCCGGGCCTGCCAACGGGTGGCCTTATTCCTTGTTTTAGTCTCCTGATAAAGGTCATAGTATAATGTCCCAGACTAGGAGGAAGTGAGCGAGCCATTGGAAAATGCCCCTGGTTACCTAGGGATAGGGAAAGCCCTGTGTGGCCTTCCTATGACTAAGAGCCCTGTTGGCCATGTCCCACCCTTCATCCCATCCCTGGGAGCTTCCCACATCCCCTTGTGTTCTTCCTTACCATCCTGTGCACAAGCAGGCTGAGCCCCAAACAGGACGTGTGTGCAGATGAATGTCATCACCTCCTGTGCCTGACACAGAAGACTACGTTCTGGCGAAGACAGACCCAGAATATAAAAATCAGGTCTGAGCAGATTAAGGGTCTCCCTGGTCTCCAAATGGAGCTGCTGGTAACTTCTGTGAGTCAGATGTGTCTAACCTGTGGTCTGTGGTCCGAGTGTGTCCCAGGCTAGTTGAGAATATGCTCAACATGTTTGTAGGTATCGGGGCCACAGTCGGAAGGCTGGCCGTTCCTGTTTTAACCAGCAGACGACCTGAGAACTGTGAGAAGCCTGTGGAGGGGCTAGCAGCATGCATGCTTCTTCCTCTTGTCTGCCCCTCGTGTGACTTCTTGCTGTCTGTAGACCCAGGGGCCCGCTCAACCCTTACCATTCCCTCTGTTGAGACCAGTGTGCCTGTCACCACCCCAGCTTCTCGGCAGAGTGCTCATCTCTGTCCCCATCCTCCAGCTCCCCTCAAGTGTTTCTGTGGACCCCCATACTCTCTTCACCCCAAAGTTAGAGCAGACGTGTGCCCTTCCTGACCCACCATCTTTAAAAGGCCTCCTGTCTGGTGTCTGCCTCATTCTGAGAGTAGGTCTGACTTCTGTTCCCTGGTTCTCCTCCTGGACTAGCCTGTCCTACTTGACCCAGACTGTTATACTAACTTAGTATCCAACTTTCCTGTCTTCCCCTTCCCTGCATATCACTCAAAAATTAATCTCCCCAAAGTTTCATTGATCAGGCGCTCAATGAATGATCACTTTCCATTCCTTCACTATTGGTGACCTCAGGTACCACAGGCCTCCAGATCCTGCACTCAGTCCCCTCCTGTCTCAGCAGGTAGACAGCCTTCACAGGTGTCTCTGCCTCTGCCAGCTTCCCTTGTTCTTACCCCCACCCTCTTGCTGCTGGAACCAACCTGTGCCTGGAGATATCGTCCCAGACTCTCAGGCTGTATGGCCTATATGTTCCCCTGGGCACGGTGCTGCAGGCTGTATGTTCCCCTGGACACGGTGCTGCAGGCTATACGTTTCCCTGGACACGGTGCTACAGGCTGTGTGTTCCCCCGGACACGGTGCTGCA